AAGAATAGACTATTTATTTCAGAAGGAGGATTTACTAACATGACCCAAGTGAAATACACCTTTTTAGTCCCCGTTCGGACGAAGTCCGAAAACGGGGACTTATGTTTTGATCTCCGTGTGTCCGTGTGTGCGTGCGTGTGTGCGTGCGTGCGTGCGACTGTGCGTGCGTCCGGACCTGTATCTTAGAAATGCCTGAACCAATCACAATCAAACTTCACACATACATCATACATGATATCATACATATGCACGTCAATTTGTTTCACGATCCGATTCAAGATGGCCGAATGGCGGCCATTTTTGTACTAAAAATCATCAAAATCAAGCATTTCCCGGCTGTTTACAGATGGATTTTGTTCAAACCTTGTATATACGTTGGACATTATAGGACCTTGATGATCATCATTTTGTTTTACGATCTAATTCAAGATGACCGAATGGCGGCCATTTTTGTGCTAAAAAATCATAAAAATCAAGCATTTCTCGGCTGTTTACAGATGGATTTTGTTCAAACTTGATATATACATTAGACATTACGGGACCTTGATGCAAATAATTTTGTTTTTCAGATAACATTAAAGAATGGGCTTCTAGACCCATATTTCCAACTTGTTTTGACTGATTATGTTCAAATTTTAAATATTCATTATACATCATGTTATAGATACACATATATATTGGTTCGACGATCCTATTCAAAATGGCCGAATGGTTGTCATTTTTGTGCTAAAAAATCGTCAAATATCATGCATTTCTGGCATTTATGGATGGATTTCGTTCAAAAATGGTAAATACATTAGACATTACGGGTTCCTGATGCATGTCATTTTATTTTTCAGATCAGACTCAAAATGGCTGTCCGGTGGCCATTTTGTTTTAATGAATGGGTTTCTAGACCCATATGTCTGACTTGTTTTGACTGATTATGTTCAAATTTTTAATATTCAGTATACATCATGTCACAGATATACGGATATATTGGTTTGACGATCCTTTTCAAAGTGGCCTAATGGTGGCTATTTTTGTGCTAAAAAAACTTGTTTTATTTTTTAGATCGGATTCTGAATGGCTGACTTGTGGCCATTTTGTTTTAATGAATGGGCTTCTAGAGCCATATCTCTGACATGTTTTGACTGACTATGTTCAAATTTCATATATTCATTATACATATATTCATAATGGCTGATTTTGTTTTAATTAAAGGGAGCAGAGGTGTGGCTCTTGACACTCTGTACATGAAATCTGAGATCTATGAATGAATTCTGTCGATAAAAATAACTTATATGCTGCGAAATGCCCTAAATATCGGGTATAAAACGGGCTGTGAAGCAGACGACAAACTTCCGCTTTTCCTGGCGTCATTTCGCCTCTAGAGGGCCAGTCAAATGACGTCATCAGTGAACACTGATAATTGAACACATTCATGCTAGTACGTCAATCCCATAGAAATGCTACTATGAAAGACCTTGTTAACTGACTACTTAAAAGTTGAAACATGGCGAGGTGTTGTGTTATGAATGCCGTAACGATTCATGTTATGTTTCTCGAAATCCCAAATAAAAAATCACGTTGTTGGTTGCGAGAAATCGGCGGAAGAACTAACCTGAAAGTGAAGACAATACAGCGTTCTGGCTATAGTAAACAGTGAGTGAATAAATATTGTACGAGTTAACACTAAATGAGAAATATGCTAATATCACTTGAACCACAGTACTCACTTTGCCCAACTTCCCACTTTTTAAACGATCGCTTATTTCCGACTGCACTGTATTTTCCGACCGGAAAACGACCACATTTTACCGTTTTTTTTTTCTCTCG